CCAAAAAAAAGAGATAAAAGTATGTGTCAACACTGGCAGTAGTCTCTCGTCAGTTGTAAAGCCCTGGCATGAGTGCCAAAAAATCTGTGATGCCGCATTCTCCAGAGATGCCGCATTCTGCTTCCTCCATTGTCCTTCTAGGAGGGGGTAAATTAAGGCATGATCCACACAATATTTATATTTAAACTTCATAGCTTTCATACAAAAAAATAGTCTTCTAAGTTTTGAGCACTGTGATTACAGGAAAAGTAGACCCACCTTTTCCAGCCACAAATTTATCCAGGAACTCCTCCCAGGTGCCAGGCTCTGGATGCATTTTTGCCATCTGGTGGAAATAATAGTAAGATACAGCCACGTCTTTGGCATTCCGTGCCACATAGATCATCTATGGGGGAGAAGAGAAACTAGCATTTTAAAAATTCATTAATAGTTTTAAATTCTTTTGCTAATATGATTAGAATCAATATTTTCACCTTTATATTTCCTGATCATGGCATGTATATTAATAACCTGGTCTATATTCACAAGTAAATTTTTTTAAGTTTGTTGGTACATTTATGTATCCATAATGATCACGTTCATTGTAAGGAATTTGTACCAATACATGACACATTTGAGTCTTTTTCTTACCCATTGCCCTACCATACCTGCAACCCTTTCCCTGTTTGTATGTTGTTTTAATTTTAAAAAGTCCTTTTATCTCTCATACCTGTTCTCAGTCGTTGAAAAGAACATCTCTTAAAACACAGAAAAGAAAATAGAATAAGAATTATAGAAGATATTAAATTAACAGAGTAACTAAAGTCCCTAAATTTAGAATATATATCTATATCACTTATTAAAGCTAGAAATGTAAATTAAATTAAATGTTAAAGACATAGTTCAGATCTGGGTACATTCCACAGCACAAAAAACAAGCAAAACCACTCTTAAGAAACTACTCATGTTAGAAAAGGTTTAAAAGTGTCTGGCATGCAGAAGAAACTCAGCAGTATTTAGAGAAAGTAGAAAAAATTACATAGTCTTAGATATCAGAGAACATATTTTCCTCCTTTCTCTTTATAATGCCAGCTGAAAGATACTGTACATATGTAATAAAATTTCCATAAATGTTTACTGACTACATATGTATTGAGTAACTTTGCTAACTTTGCTCATGAAAAAGAATTGTAAGGAAAATAAACAAACTATAGTAGACTCAATATATTTATCCAAATATAAATGACTGATAGAAAAATATGAAGAATTAGAAAAATAATATCTACACCTCTCAAAGACATTAAAAGAATAGCCAAGCACATGTGTGTTTGTGTGTGTGTGTGGTGTGTGTGTGTGTGTGTGTGTGTGTGTGTGTGGTACCAGGGATCAAACTCACGACCTTGCACTTGCCAGACAGACACTTTTGCCCATAAGCTATATCCCTGGACCCTAAAGAATACTTTCAGAAAAGTTGACATTTTCTAAGGTTTTTGTTGTTGTTGTTTCCAGTACTGGGATTGAACTCAGGACCTTGTGCTTGCCTGGCAGATATTTATGCCACTGAGCTATATTCCCAGCCACAAAGACATTAAAAGAATATTGTGAAAACCTTCATTTCAAAAAATGCTCGTTTTGCAAAAGATACTAATTCGTGTGTCTTCTAAAAGACAGATTAACAAAGATATTTTAAGAAAAGATATGCAACCAAAAAGCTACAACTCTTGTTGCACAGGTCCTG